AAGTATTCTGAACCTTGTTCAGATCTCAGTAATGCCTCTGTCTTTCCAAAGACCACTCTCCACAAGAAAAAAAGGGTAAGAGAGGCTGACCTAAGGGACATACCTGGGTCCCCATTCCTATGCCAACAGCAAGGACCTCAGCATCCCACCAGTAGGCCCAGCCATGCAGACTCAATGCACAGCAGTTTGTAGAGTGCTCTTTCACAGCTGGTTATTTCACTTGATACCAGCAGAGCTCAGTAGCTGGCACATCACAGGCTTCTCCGTGTCTAGCAGTGTTGGCTATTCCCAAACTACAGGTTGGTGGGCTACAAGAGATTTTTGGTGTTGTCTATGCAGTGTTCCTCACATCAGGGCACACAGGTGGTATCCAAGTAGCTGCACACTAAGGATGCACTCCACAGGAGCTGGGCCAGCCGAAGGAGTGGGGAAGGAACTTCAACAGTCCACAGAGAAGCAGGGAAAAGCAGATCTGCAACAGCTGGCATACGAACCACACAGGATCTGATTTGTTGCTCCATAAGGGCCTTGCCCCAGTGACACCAAACTACAGAAACAGTCAGTCCTGAATAGGAATAATTGTCTAACTTCTGTACGGCCTATACATACCCACTATATGGCCTGGAAACAAAAAAAATCAGGCATTCAGCTTGGAGCCAAAGCAGCAAATATCAAATAGGGACCTCAGTTCCCTCCTAACTTCTGATAGGGAGTTCTGATACTGACTTCAACAGCAGTAAGTTCTTGTTCTGTGTGGTGGGTTGACCCTGGCTGGACACCAGGTGCCCAAAGCTACTCTATCATTCCCCCCCTCAGCTGGACAGAGGAGAGAAAAATATAACAAAATGCTCACGAGTTGAGGTAAGGACAGGGAGATTAACTGTCACAGGAAAACAGACTCGACTTGGGGAAATTTGTTTAATTTATTGCCAGTCAAATCAGAGTAGGGTAATGAGAAATAAAAACTGAATCTTTAAGACTTTAAAATCCCCTCATACCTCCCTTCTTCCCAGGCTTAACTCTACTCCCAATTTTCTCTACCTCCTTCCCCCAAGCGGCACAGGGGGACGGGGAATGGGGGCTGTGGTCAGTTTATCACGCGTTGTCTCTGCTGCTCCCTCCTCCTCAGCGGATGACTTCTCACACTCCTCTCCTGCTCCAGCATGGGGTCCCTCCCATGGCACACAGTCCTCCATGAGCTGCTCCAATGTGAGTCCTTCCCACGGGCTGCAGTTCTTCACAAACTGCTCCAGCGTGGGTCCCCCATGGGGTCACAAGTCCTGCCAGCAAACCTGCTCCAGCCTGGGCGCCTCTCTCCATGGGCCACAGGTCCTGCCAGGAGCCTGCTCCAGCATGGGCTTCCCACAGGGTCACAGCCTTCTTCAGGCATCCTCCTGCTCTGGCTTGGGGTCCTCCCCGGGCTACAGGTGGAGATCTGCTCCAGCGTGGGCCTCCATGGGCTGCAGTGAGACAGCCTGCCTCACCATGGGCTTCACCACAGGCTGCAAGGGAATCTGCTTTGGCGCCTGGAGCACCTCCTCCTTCTTCACCAACCTTGGTGTCTGCAGGGTTGTTCCTCTCACATATTCTCATTCCTCTCTCCGGCTGCAATTGCATAGGAATTTTTTCCCTCCCTTCTTAAATACATTATCTCAAAGGCACTACCACTACTGCTGATGGGCTTGGCCTTGGCCAGCGGTGGGTCCATCTTGGAGCTGGCTGGCATTGGCTCCATCAGACATAAGGGTGCCTTCTAGCAGCTTCTCACAGAAGCCACCCCTCTAGCCTCCCCACTACCAAAACCTTGTCACGCAAACCCAATACACTCTGAAAAGAAAGTCAAAGTAATATTTTTAATCAAATCGGAAGGGTTTGCAATACCCTTCACTGAATATGTTGTTTTCCGTATCTTGTCTGTGGAACACTATGGCAGTAAAAGGTGCTTTCAAAATGCTGGACATTAATTACTCAGAAACGTTCCCCCATCTATTCTAACAGACATTTCTGCTCCAAAAGATGCATATTCTTTATGTCTCTCATTTTCTGGGGCAGCCAGCCCTAGAGGCAACAGGATAGCCAACTGGTGCACAACAGATTCAAAGCACAGAAGAAAACTTTGGTAGTCTTGCGCAGGGGACAGGGCACTAAGCTTGGAAAGATGAGACCAGAGTGAATTCTTAGCCCTTTGATCAATCCAGAAGTCACACTGTGACATTCAGAAAGCCACTTCACCTCTCTACATCTGTTTTCCATAATGTAATCGACATAATACTGTGGCCCATGCCTTTTTGTAAGCTATTCTGAGGTCTACTGAGAAAAAACATGAAAGAGATGGTAGACAAACAGTTATCACTAGCCTTCCCAAGTCTTTCCTGAATGAGGAACAAAACTGTTTTAGGAAGGTGAAAAGGCAGAGTCAAGCTAGCTGGGGTTTAAAATGACTGTTCCAGATACAGAGGATATCTGCAATTTTGTGTGCAGCCCCCATCCTCTCCCTTCCCACCAAGGAAAGATACCCAATTACCACATTCTGTACTTTTTTCCCTTCTGCATCACTAACTAGACAGCAGCAGAGAAGAAAAGCAGAGCCTGAGAGGAAGAGCAACAGTACAAGTGTCTAATACTGGTCTCCAGGCCCAAATGGAAACTGAAACACAGTGATTACCACGAGCATAGTTGTTTGCTCTCTCCATGTCTCGACTCAGCTGGAGTACTTTCTCTTCCATCTCTGCAATGCTCATATAGTTAGAGTAATTCAGCTCTCCCTGCAGAGCCTGAAAAATCTTGGCCTAGAAAACAACAGAGAAAAGGAAGATAAGACACCAAGACTTCACTTCTGCAACATGAAGCCCACAAAGTCACCATCCCTCCAGCATCTCACACATCAGCTGCCATAGCTGCAGTGTTGTATAGGACTTCAGAGCTCCCATGCTTGCTGAGCAGAGGGACACCTTGTATTTCAGGTACTCTGTTTCTGGTCTTGGAACAGAAACACAGACCAGCATGGCAGAAGATGTTCACATATTCTTTGTACTCCCCATAAGGTTGCAGTAAGTCAGTCCAAGTGATACTGGCCTGCTCTTAGACTCTGCTTTCCACAGTGTTCCTCAAAGCCCTGAAGAGCAACTTTGCAACAGCAGAACTCCTTCAATGCCCCCCACCTCTGCCATTGTCTAGGGCCTGCCACTTCACATTATGCGGGAAGATTCCCTATATATTTGGCTCGCTCAGGGGGCTGTTTAAATCTACTATAAGGTCTTTCACACTGCCAAAGAGGCATGTAAATGAGAAGCATGATCAAGGGACCAAACATAAATGCAGGCTTATAAGAATCTGGAGTATGGAGTAAGACAGATGATAGAGAATGAATTGGTGCCTTCACCTATCCATTAGGTGATTACGTTTATCTAGGGAATGCTAGCAAGCCCCAAATGCTGGATGCCAGCAGTAGATCTACTACTCACCTCAAAACCAGAGAGTTCCCACTACAGCGAAAATTTATACCAACGATTTCTGAAATGTTTACAATTGCACCCCAGCTCTCTTCCCTGCTTGCAATGATATAGCTCAAAAGTACAGTGTTTCTTCTAGATAGTGATGGTATTTTACTTTTTTTCTCTACAACTGGATTTATTATTTATCACTACAAAGGGATTTCAGTAACATTTCAATTTACTTAGGACCTTTACTGCTCTACAACAGTATTACAGAATCAAAGCTAGCATGAGGACAGGAGACTTCACCTTGCACTTCCAGCCCTAGGAATGATTCGCCTTAGCCGTATGACGGGAGTGCACCTGGGACCCTCAGGATTTCTGTGGAGGACGTCAAGAGCTCAATGTTTCCAGAAAATTCACATACATAAAACACCCAAGGAAAAATAAGCAATGAATATTGATACAAAACTGGGATTCAGTCTGCCTTGAGATGGAGTACCCAGCTGAAACACACACACACTTTGAATGCAATTCACCATCCTATCTCATTATCATCCTAATACCCTCAAAGATTCAGTGATCTTCACTGGGAAGACATTGCAAGTACCTCCAAATAAGATATCAAGCCAGCTTCTTCCTTCTCCACCTGTTTTTGCTTTCTCAGTGCCCTCTCGCAGATCATGGGGTTCTGTTCCATGTTTGAGTACAGTTCATGCAGGCATTGCTGAGTGTAGGACAAAGACTGCTTCTCAAATTCCTCTAAGGAAATCAGCTTACAAAATGATACGCTGAGGGGATACTCATTGTCAAACTCATCCAAGATCTCCATTCTGCACCTGAGCAAAGACGACAGGGCACACTGTCTGCTCTCCTCTGGCTGGTGGAGGCAAGAGAGCTATTTTCTGGTGATGAACCAGGGCCTTTCTCCCGCCCTGTCAGCAAACTGGGACTTGAGCAGGCCCTACCACAGGAGCTCACCAACACCCTCCTGAGGGCCTCTGCCAGCAGAACTGCCTCTTCAGCGTGCTAGCACCAAGTCCGGGTGGAAACTGTGGTGCAGGACCTCATCAGGACAGAGCAACTGGGGCAGATACAGTCCCCCAGGGGGGCTCCCTGCCCTCCCCTTGACTTCCAGGCCCAGGTTACCTCTTCCCCTACAGCTCCAGACCAGAAACAGCGCTAAGTGGGAGAAAGCCGCATCAGAGTAAGCTCGTACGGGTCTCTCGGGGCAGTGAACAGCCAGACAAACGGCTCACGCCCCTCACACAGCCACGCCCCGAGGGATTCGCACCCACAGAAGGGGCA